CTATAAGACAAATGTCTTCTGATTGGCTGCACCTCACAAACAGCAGGTGGGTATCTCCTCTGAACCTTTGGCTCCTACTGACACTGACCTCATTACTACATTTTCCAAAGCAGTGCGTGATGACCTGTAAGAGCACAGTTGGTTTATGTAACGCAGCAGTGTGAGGAATTTGATGCCCTGGAAAGATTCATCTATGTTTTGGAAAACGGCATCCTGGAGCTACTGGAGAACGTGAAAACGTACCTGCAACACCTGCAGGTAAACTCACGCACACACTTTGTCCTGTCTATTCACTGCAAAGCTTTACTGGACTTTAGGGACTAAACATTAAAACTGAATAAACTCATTTGTAAAACATGACTTTGTGTATGTGATTTTGCCTGCACAGGTCAGCAGCAGTCACTCTTTATGGCTTTAATAAAGGTTTCAGGCTGTGACTCAAGGTCAGCCTCTGCAGCAGCATATCACTACAGACATGCAGTCAGGAGTCTGAGTCTCTGTCAGGAGGCCACACATGTGTTTGTGTGTGGTTGGTCTGCGGGGCTTCCTGTCTGCCGCACGGAGGCCTTTGACTTGGACTGGACGGAGAAAAGGCACCGATCTGCTACAAGGAGATCACTACGGTACTCTGATTAACTCTGAGAGCAGTGCTGTGGTCTTTACAGGTGCAGGAAGTGCTGCATCCTGTCGGCTCGTGTCCAGTTAAGAGGAAAAGGATGAGCAGCGCTCGCAGAAACAGCACTAGCTAAACTCTCTCTGTATCACCTGTGTGTGGCAGGAGATTTAAAGATTACATCACAGACTTCTGTCTTTGCAAACAGCTTCTGATTAGCAGATGGTCTGCATCCTCCATCCCGCCTCCAGTCTCCTCTTCACATGCTCAGAACATTATCATAGGTCAGAAACAGGCTGCCACGTCTCTGAGCGCGTGTAGAGGTGGACATGCATATTTTGCCCCCCGTGAAAGGATGATGCACTGGACGACGGTCTGCTGATGTTGGTCTGTTCTTTATTCCTTCTTCCAGAAGAAGAGGATGAGGTGATCCACCAGCTTCCCTGCGCTCTCTGGGACCTCTGGATGGGCCCGAGGAATCTGATCAGAAAGAGACTTGACAAGCTTCTCGACTACAAAGTGATCGATGGGAAACCCAACCTGAGCTACAAGGAGCAGGCTGTGGCCAATGCGTACAGGTGGGAGCTGGTTTCTGATGGTTGGAGGTGTGACTGGTGTGACCTCCTTTACTCCCCCTCTCCTCCTGACAGGATGTTGAACACGCTGCTCCTGAAAGAGCTCCCTCAGTTTAATGGGCTGGCTCTGCAGATCAGGAGCATGTTCGGGTCGTTCAGCTGTCTGCACAGAGATCTCGCCGTAGACATGGAGCAGCTGTTTCACAGCTTCGCTCAGCAGGTGACGTCCTTACAGACAGGCTAATGAACAAAAACATGTTGGCTATCTGTGCTCATCTTCCACATGTCTCCCTGCAGCTTCCTCACAGCAGCCTCTCTCCTGGTGCATTCTGGGAGTGGGCAGAGTCTTCAGTGCTGGAAGGAGCAAGAAGGCTGAGAGAATTTATGTGATTTACAGAATCACCTTAGGGCGCTTTGTACTGTAAGCTACAGACCACTATGGGCAAGTACTTGGCGACAGTGGAAAGGAAAAACTCCCTTTGAACAGGAAGAAACCTCGAGGCTCAGGGAGGGGCAGCCAACTCCTGCGACATGTTGGAGGTGAGGAAGACAGGACAAAAACACGCTGTGGGAGAGAGTCAGAGATTA